GTCCTGCAGGTTGGTTGCCCACTTCGGGCCAGCGCCGCCCCTCTTGATCTCTGCCAAGAACCTGTTCTTCGGTTCCTTCACGGTCGCTGCCTGCTCGCGCAGGGCGACCATCTTCTGCCCGCGGGCGACGGGCGCGGGGGGCGGCGAAGGAAGAGGGAGACGAGGCGAGGAAGAGGAATGCGCACGGTGAGAGGAAAAGAGGAATACAAAACCATGGTGGGCAAACGTTTTTGGCATTCCGCGCCTGAGCTCGTCTTTTGGCTCCTGCATCTCCGCGTAATATTGCCCCCCCCCCACCTTTCGCGCCGGGCGTCTCTGCGGCTGCCGAAGACAGGCGCATGTGCCCTTTCCAAATATCGTTGCAGCTGCTGCTCTTCCCGCGCGCGGCGCCGTCGTCAAAAACGTAGAAAGCATTCGGAATCGACGGCTTCTTCCTCGTCGATCCTGGGCGCGCGGGTTTCTGCAGCATTGAATTTCCTCGCGTTCTTCTGCCATTCTGCGTGGGCCCACTCGCAGCCTGCTCCCACGGACAGGAAACTTGACAAGTTCAACCCGGATTCTTGCATGAGCAGCGTGACCGCGACCCACTTCTGCCTGCCCTTCTCCGCCGACTTCTGCTCGATCTCGGCTGTTGTCGTGAAATGTTTGATGAGGCCCTTCAGCGCTTTGGGATATTTCCTGTTTGCCTTTTCCTCGGTCCACTGGTCGAAGAATCCCTTGCGCCTCGCGCTACAGAGGTCGTCGAACGTCGCCAGCGCTTCTTTTCGCTGCGCGCCATGCTCTCCAGCCTTCTCGCTCCAGCGCGCGAAGTGGTTGCGGATGTAAGTGTTCTGCGTGTTGTCCACGTTTAACCATGGCCTCTGATGGGCGCGCTGGAGGACCTAATTTCTTGGCTGCAGGGGCTCTTTCTGCAGGCCCTGGCGCTTTGGTTTTCGCGGGCGCTGGGCGCGCCGCGAGCTTCGCCGTCTGGCCTTCCGGAGGCGGCGGCTGGGCCTCGGGCTTGGATGCTGCCTTCGGCGGCGGCGGCTTGGCCTTGGTCGTTGCCTTCGGTGGCCCCGGCGCCTCGCCCCCGGCTCTGGCCTTGCCCTTTCCCACCAGCACCGCGGGGCGGAGGGCGCCCGCGAGGAGCGCCGCGTTCGCAGCCGCAACACGCACGAACATCACTGATGTGCTTCTGGAAAAAGAATTGAGAAACGTCAGCGAATAACAAATCGCGAAGCCGCCCGCGTTTCCGCGAGGCTGCGCCCCCCTTCTTGCAACACCATTGCTGCGAGGCATTACATGGGGCGTCGCGGCGCGGGCGCCCCCGCCGGCTCGCAGGAGGCAGCGCCTCCATACATCGTTCGCGTAATTCGAATCCTCATCATCTCGTTCCTTTTTTTCTCCGGAGGCGTTGCCCCCCATGGCAGGAGCGCCCTGCAAGTTCCTGCTGCGCATATATTATTCAGGAGTCGTGGCCCCTAGCGCCGTCGCGGGGCCCTTGTCATTGCGAGAAACACTTGGCTCTCAAGGGACAGCGCGTCGCCGCTCGAACCTCCTGCGCGCTTATGTCATCGAAGATTTTGCGTCGTGCTCCTCCTCATCATCCCACTCGCCCCCCCCCCCCCTCCATCTCCCCCTCCTTCTCCTCCTCCATCTCCCCCCCCCTCTTCCCACCTTTCCCCTCCCCCATCCTCGGCCTACTCCCCCTCCTCTTCCTTCCCCCTCTCTCCCCCCTCCCATCCTTCTCCTCCTTCTCCTCCCCCCCCCATCCCCCTCCCTCCTCGTGCTGTTGCTCCTCCTCCACCCTCCTGCTCCCCCTCGCCATCGCCCTCCCGATCGTCGTCGACGTCCTTCAGGGTCGTCGCCATCAAACGCGAAGCTGCGCAGTGCCCACAATGCTCACATATCCTCCTCAGATTTGCAATCAACGTCAGGACCCAATGACTTATCATGAGACAATCAGGAGGTAATGCCGCCAAACATAGCGCATGATCTTCTCGACATCATCGCGTATCTGCCCGAGCCAGTTGAATGCGGGCTCGATTCGGTTTAGGTCGAAACTCGTTGATTCGTATCCAGGATGGCACATCCAAAAAATACACAACATGGTCGACCCACGAACCCGGAAAATAATCCGAGGCGCCGCACAAGGCCCATGAGGCCCCCAAGAGACCCCTCAAGAGGCCCCAAGAGGCCCCCCAAAAAGTCCCAAGAGGCCCCCAAACTACCACTTGAGGTATGCAACTTCTAAGCCGCAGCCCAGGCGCCAAGCATCTCGGGCCGACAGCCAAAACGCGGCGGCGGGATGGGCCGAAGGCCGCTGTCCATTTTGCGCAGCCCCCACCCCCAGCGCCCGCTGATTTTCCACCGGTCGTTGACCTCCACTCCATGTGATCCTTCGTGTTTCTTGCTCCCGTCGCCCTTCCTGCCTCGATCCCTCCGCTCCATTGTCTTGCTTCCCCCCCCTGCCCACTTCTTCTTTACCTTCGTGCCTCTTCCCCCAATCGCCGCCCCTTCCTGGGCCGATCCCTCTTCGTCTTCCTCCTCCTGTCTCCCCCGTCCACGCACCCTCAGCATTCATGTTTCTTCCCTCCATCGCCCCCCCCCCTTGCACAGCGCTGGCGCGAGCGGCGTGGCACTATGATGTTTGCTTTAGCTGGCGCCCCCAGGGATCTGCCTTGCCTTGCTGCTGCCGCTGCTGCTCCCCGTGACCCCCCGCCCTCTGCGATTGCGAATGGTGGGCTCATGGATCTCCCCCCTCTTACCCAGTGCAATGCTGTTTCTATTATTCGCGCCGCATCTCCTATGCAGACGCTCAGTTCGCTTCCGCGTCGCCGCGTGTAGTGCGCATGCCTTTTCCTGCCTGGCATGCTGCAGCGTCCCCCGATTCCTTCTCTCGCCCCCCCCCCATCCGCCTCCTCCGCGCCCCCCCCCTCCTCAGCTTCGTCTGCCCCTTCCCGTCCGCCTCCCCCGGGGCCAAAGAGGCGCCGAACCTCGCGATTTCATTGGGATGCTTGGGATTCCTGGGATGAGAAGCCCAGAGCGTTTCTTATTTCCTGAAGCGTTCCAAGAGGGCCCCCAAGACGGCCTCCGACGGCGCCAGACGGGCCAGCAGGACGGCCAGAGAGGCCCCCCCAAAGCCCCCAAAGGCCCCCCAAAGGCCCAAGGATGCCCCCAAGAGGCCTCCAAAAGACCCCCAGGAATCTCCCAGGGCCCTAATGGGGGTCCTCTTGGGGCTCTCTTGGGGGTCCTCTTGGGGCCTCTCGGGGGTTTTCTTGGGGCCCTCTTGGGGGTCATCTTGGGGCCCTCTGGGGGGGTCATCTTGAGGCCTCTTGGGGGTCCTCTTCGGGAATCTTGGGGGTCCTCTTGGTGCCCTCTTGGAGGTCCTCTTGGAGCCTCTTGGGGGTCCTCGTGGGGCCCTCTTTGTGGTCCTCTTGGGGCCCTCTTGGGTGTCCTCTTGGGGCCTCTCGGGGGTCCTCTTCGGGCCTCTTGGGTGTCCTCTTGGGCCCTTCTTGGGGCCTCTTGCGTGTCCTCTTGGGGCCTTCGTCGTGGTCCTCTTGGGGGTCCCCAGTCATAGCCTCGCGAGGCCGCGATGGTCCCTGGTGTCAGTTTCAGCGCTGCCTGACCCCTCAGGGCGCTCGAGCCAAAGTGGCTTTGGCTGGAAGCAGAACTGGGGGGGTGGAGGGGGGGAGCGATATAGGAAGGAGGAGGGGGAGGTGGGAAATCACCGGGTCCGCTCAGAATCCAAGACCCCCCTCCGAGCTTTCAGCTTAAATCTCCCGAGGGCCCGTTTTCAATGGGAAAAAAACACTTTCAGGTCGCCACGCGAAGTTCAAAAAATGTCAAACGATTGGATGTGACATGTTTTGAATATCGGAGGACCGTCCGAATCCACTGTATTTTTATAGTGGTAACGCGCCTCGAGAAAAATCATGAAAACTCTCGGCTTCCAGGGGGCGGGTTCAAGCGTTTTGGGACCCCCTGGGGGCGCCCTCCTTCTACCCCTCCTCCTCCTGCTCCTCTTCCTCCTCCTCCATTCGCTCGCTCGCCCTCGCGTGCTCCAGGCGCGCGCCTCGCCTGCGCCTTGGAGGGGCAGGGGGAGGGCCGGGGCAAAACCTCGCCCGCGCCCCCGAAAACGAAGAGCAGGGGCACGGCGAGGGCGCAGGAGGACGAGGCAGCCCAACTGGTTGCTATCTGGAATGTACCCCTTGCACCAACTTCCACCAACGACGAGGAGCCCAACTGGCTGCTATCTGGAATGCGCCCTTCCTGCCCCACTTGCCCCACTTGCCCTGGCCCACCTGCCCCACCTGCCCCACTTGGGCAAGTGGAGCAAGTGGAGCAAGTGGAGCAAGTGGGGCAAGCGGGGGCAAGTGGGGCAAGTGGGGCGCATTTCACATAGCGCAACACCGCTGCTTCTGCTATATATGTATAAGTATATGCGTGCACCAGATTTGACACATGTGCACATTAAATGTGCACTAATTCGCTCAACTGGGTCTGCGACGGTATCGAGCAACATTCGTGCAGATCTCAACATCGCGGTTAGGCTCCGTGTCGCTGCCTCCGCAACACGCCTCCGCATCGCTGCCTCCGAATCTGCCCACACACAAGTGCAGCCGCATCGTGGCTCGGCTGCAAAACATTACGCGACAGGGGAGAAGTAAAGCTATCAAAATTCTCGTGACAGCCGAACGTTGAATGTCTACGACAATCCCGTCCTCTAAATTCAAATGCGGAATCCGCGCGCTGCCTGCATCATGCTTTGTAGCATGGTGCGGGGGCGGTTAGAGGTGGTAGATCCCGTCCAGCATTTGCAACGTGTGTCAAACATCCGTTTTGCACACAACACGCATGCGCTCCAAACTTCAACGACGCTAGAACCTATCACCACATACCTAGATTTCAAACCCTCTTTTAACCCTCCCACTGTCCGTCATTCCCTCCGTCCTTCCTTTCATCCTCCTGCTGCTGTTGCTCCTCCTCCTCCTCCTCCACGACTCTCGATGCCGCGGCGCCACGGGACACGGCTCAAGAACTCGTGGTGAGACACGGCCGTTTCGTAGGTTGTCAGCACGATGTTGGCTTCGTTGGTGCCCTTGCCAAGATCGTCCATGATTCCCTTCATGTCCTCGGAGACGGGAGGGTTGGAGGACGGCGCCGAGGCCTGGAGAAGAACCAGTTCACGAAGAGAAGCGCGCTGGGCCCCACAGCGTGAGCGAGACACAATCCGATCTGCGAACCCATGGCCGAGTGCGCGAGGAGCCTTAGGCTGTCAAGGGCGGCCCGAGATTCTTGGATGCTCTGCAGAGACTACACGCCCGGGAGTGCGAGGCCGCGATCTGGAAATATCCACCACTGGGGAACCGATGTCCGGGACCCTACGGTGCAAACGAGATGCCTATCTTTGTGCTCCAGCGGGCCCGGGTAGATCCGCTTCCACCACCTGCCGAGGTCCAGGGTGATCCTTTCCCCAAGCATTGGCGCTCTTGGGAATTGCGATCTCCACAACTTGCGCGGGCCCTCAGGCGCATATCCCCGCTGGAGAACTAGTTGGAGCTCCCTATCGGGCCACGATCTGCGGGAGGGCGTGTGCCGAAGTGGGCGCGGGCCCGGATGCGCAAACCCTCTTTGGAGCCATGTGGTCGCCACTGGACACCTTGAACCCAAAAACCTGGCCGTTGCTTGGGAGGGCAACGCTTACTTCCGCAAGCTTCCGCCGACCTGCCGCTGGCCTCCGCCCGCGGAGCCACCCTCGTTTGGCTTGCTTTAACCTTCCGCCGAGGAGATGCTTCCGTGGCAACTCCTGGGACGATCTTGCTGGCCCTGGCGAATCGACGCTGCCCGACGCTAACCGATGCTAATCGAGGCTGAAGCGACGCCAATCGACGCCGACGCTAACTCGACGCTTCCTCGTCGACTGCCAGGCGCCAGCGCACGCGAATGCATTCTAGACACGGAGTTGCGAGGACACGCAAGGCTCCCATGAGCTGCTACCGAAAGCGGCGCCAACCCCTGGACCCTTCGAGGGCGAGGAACCTTCTCTGCACGGCCCAGCGCGCGGTGGCCTCGCGATCCGCTATCCTCCCCGCCGCCGGCCTCGCGGCCCGCCGGGCCCCGGCTGGCGGGTCTCCAGACGCTGGCGGGCGGTCCAACCCCGAAGCCCCAACTCCTCCAACGAACTACCCAAGCAAAGCCTCCAGACAGCAGCAACAGTGAAGGGGCGGGACAGGGGTGGGAGCAGCCGAGACAGGGGTGAGGGCACGGCCATGTGCACCTCAGCGATTTTCGTACGAGAGATCGTGGCCGTCAGGACCAATCATGCAACTGGCATTGAGGCGGGAACACGATTCCTGCTCGGAAACCTGACCAGACAAGAACGGGAAGCGTCGCTTTAGTCCACCAAGCATGTGGAAAATGCTCTGTTGTTGTTATGCCGCGCAGGTATGCCGTGTCGCGCGTGTCGGCGTGCGTGCGGGGTGTGTTTCGCTGTGCTCCTGTGTGTTCTGCCGTGCTCCTGTTCTGCCGTGCTTCTGTGTTCTGCCGTGCCTCTGTGTGCTCTGTGTGTTCTGCCGTGTTCCTGTATCTGCCGTGCGGATCGTCGCGGTGGTCGTTTTGGCAGAGCTTCTGGGCGCACACGGCAGAAAAAGATCAGGAGCACGGCAGAATAGGCCCCAAGAGCGAAGGAGCACGGCAGAGAAAGACAAGGAACACAGCAGAATAGACCCCAAGAGCAAATGAGCACGGCAGAATACACCCCAAAAGCTAAGGAGCACGGCAGAAAATGACCAGGAGCACGGCAGAAAATGACCAGCAGCACGGCAGAATAGACCTCAAGAGCCAAGGAGCAGGCAGAAAAAGACCAGGAGCATGGCAGATTAGGCCCCAAGAGCGAAGGAGCACAGGAAAAAGACCAGGAGCACGGCAGAATAGACCCCAGGAGCTAAGGAGCAGGGCTGGATATGCCTCAAGTGCGAAGGAGTACGGCAGAGAAAGACCAGGAGCACGGCAGGATAGACCCCAAAAGCTAAGGAGCACGGCAGAGAATGACCAGGAGCATGGCAGAATAGACCCCAAGAGCGAAGGAGCGCGGCAGAAAAAAACAGAAGCACGCCAGAGTAGACCCTGAGAGCTGAAGGAGTGCGGGAAAATATACCCCAAGAGCGAAGGAGCAAACCAGAAAAAGACGAGGAGCACAGCATAATAGAACCCAAGAGACCAGGACCACAGCAGAAAAGGCCAGAGGAGCCAACGAGTACGACAGAAAAGACCAGGAGCACGGCAGAATAGGCCCGAAGAGCGAAGGAGCAAAGCAGAACAACGACGAGGAGCACGGCAGAATAGAACCCAAGAGACAAGGAGCACGGCAGAAGATGCCCCAAATGCGAAGAAGCACGGCAGAAAATGACCAGGAGCACAGCAGAAGAGACCCCCCGAGTTCAGGGGCACGGCAGAAAAAAGACCAGGACCACTGCAGATTAGACCTCAAGAGCTAAGGAGCAGGCAGAAAAAAAGACCAGGAGCACGGCAGATTAGGCCCCAAGAGCGAAGGAGCACGGCAGAAAAAGACCAGGAGCACGGCAGAATAGACCCCAGGAGCTAAGGAGCAGGGCTTGATATGCCTCAAATGCGAAGGAGTACGGCAGAGAAAGACCAGGAGCACGGCATAATAGACCCCAAAAGCTAAGGAGCACGGCAGAATAGGCCCCAAGAGCGAAGGAGCACTGCAGAAAAACAACATAAGGACGCCAGAATAGACCCCGAGAGCTGAAGGAGTGCGGGAAAATAGACCCCAAGAGCGAAGGAGCAAACCAGAACAAGACGAGGAGCACAGCAGAATAGAACCCAAGAGACAAGCAACACGGCAGAATATGCCCCAAGTGCGAAGGAGCACTGCAGAAACAAAAAGCAGGAGCACGGCAGACAAAGACCAGGAGCACAACAGAATAGGCCCCATGAGCGAAGGAGCACATCGGAAACACACCAGGAGCATGGCAGAATAGACTCCAAGAGCTGCCGAGCACGGCAGAAACAAAAACAGGAGCACGGCATAATAGACCCGAAGAGCTAAGGAGCACGGCAGAAGATGCCCCAAGTGCGAAGAAGCACGGCAGAAAATGACCAGGAGCACGGCATACTATACCCCCAGAGCTCAGGGGCACGGCAGAAAACGACCAGGACCACAGCAGAAAAGGCCAGAGGAGCCAAGGAGTACGACAGAAAAGACCAGGAACACTGCAGAATAGGCCCGAAGAGCGAAGGAGCAAAGCATAACAAAGACGAGGAGCACGGCAGACTAGAACCCAAGAGACAAGGAGCACAACAGAAGATGCCCCACGTGCGAAGAAGCACTGCAGAAAATGACCAGGTGCATGGCATAATAGACCCCCAGGGCTCAGGGGCACGGCAGAAAAAGACCAGGAACACAGCAGACTAGACCCCAGAGCTAAGGGGCACGGCAGAAAAAGACAAGGAGCACGGCAAGATAGGCCTCATGAGCGAAGGAGCACGGCAGAAACAAAAAACAAAGAGCACGGCATAATAGACCCCAAGAGCTGAGGAGCACGGCAGAAAAAGGCCCCAGGAGCGAAGGGACATGACATAACAAAACAGGAGCACGGCAGCATCGACCCCAAGAGCTGAGGAGCACGGCAGAATAGGCGCCAGGAAAGAAGGAGCATTGCAAACCACGACCAGTGACCAGGAGCACGGCATAATAGACCGCGAGAGCTAAGGGGAGCACGGCAAGATAGCTGCAAGCATACAGCATAATACGCCCCAAGGAAGAAGGAGCATACAAGAAAAACACAAGGAGCACGGCAAAATAAACACCGAAAGCAAAGGAACACTGCAGAATATGCTCCAAGAGCTAAGGAGCACGGCAGACAACGACCAGGAGCAGAGCACCACAAGCCCGAAGAACAAGGGATTGTGACATAAAATGGCCAGGAACATGGCATAATATGCCCGTAGAGCGCAGGAGGACGGCACAAAAAAAGCGAGCATTGCAGAGTAGACCCCGTGAGCGAAGGAGCACGGCAGAACTGCTCATTCTCTGCCTTGCTCTTTTTTTCGCCAGCCAGGCTCCGCCCGTTTTTTTTGAGGATCTATGCAGCGAGAGCGCGATGTTTAACACGAGAGGTAGCAAAAAAAACGCCACTCCAAGATATCATTGTTGTTAGGATGTCTCAGGCGAGACGCTCGTTTTTGAACATCTGTCGAACTCGCGGCTTCCCATGTTCAAGGGATGTCGCAGGCGAAACGCCCATGTTTGATGAAATCGATGTTGTGAACAGCTCATTTTTGTAAGGATGTCTCGGGCGAAATCGCCATGTTGGATCGTCTCGAGGGCGCTCCTGGGGGCCAAATTTGGGTTTGTTTGGGGCCTTTGGGGGCCTTCCTGATACCTTACAAAACCGTTACAGTCCGATGTTGCACACATTCATTTTTTTCAGGATGTCCCTAGCGAAATCGTCATTTCTAGATGACTGGCTTCAACCATCTAGAAGCCTTTTTTCCTCAGGAACGATCCCAAGACGATGTTAAAACAGCAGTTTTCAAAACGATGTTGTTAGATGTTTTGAAGATGTCCCTAGCGAAATCACTATTTTCAGCAACCTTAAAGGGCTATTGGAGCCATGTTGTGGCCTTCCTTTGCTTCCTGATGCCCTCCTAAAATCATTACGATGCGATGTCGCACGCATCAAATTTTGAGTATGTCCCTACCGAAATCGACATTTGTTGAAGGCTGCCTTGGGCCGTTTGGAAGCTTTTTCCAAAAGCAAAGTCAAAACTATGTAAGAACAACAGTTTTCAAGTCGATGCTGGTGTATGTTTTCACTTTTTGAGGATGTCCCTAAAGAAATCGTTATTTTCGGAAGTCCCCCAATCGTTCTGACAGCCATCTTGACGTGCTTTTTGGCCTCTCGTTTCGTCATCTTGAGGTACTTCGAGAACGATATCAAAACGACGTTGAGGACATCTCATTTTGTTGAGGATGTCCCGAGCGAAATGCAAATGTTCTGCCGTGCTCTTCGTTCTGGTCCGCCGTGCTGCCGCTCGTTTTCTGAGGATGTCCCTAGCGAAATCGCAATTCTTAACAGAAGAGTTAGTTAAATACTTCAGTCGTTATCTCATTTTTTCGAAGATGTCCCGAGCGAAACGCACATTTTCACAGACGGCGACATTTCGCTGTCATCAACTGTTCGAGGATGTCTCGAGCGAGACGCATGTTTTTGTTAAACGCGATGTCGCAAATATCTCACTTGTTTGTGAGGATGTCTCACGTAAACTCGCCATCCCGAGGAATCCGCTAAGCCTGTATACCGCGCGACCCGCCACCCCCTATAGTTAAGAGATATATTACTGATATGAAGAGGATTCAGCCAAAACGTCCAGCTCGCTTCTCGTTCCTCGAAGACGCTTCCCGTCATCCGCCGACCCCTAGTGGGTCTCCAGGCGTGTGAGATTGTTCCCCCCACCATAATCCCCCCCCCCAGGGCCCCCAAACCGGGATTCTGACCCCCCCCCCTCGGCCCCGGGTGGCTCTGGACCGAACGCGCCACAGGGCTCCAAAACTCACCAAAAAGGCACCACAAAGCTCCAAAACGGTACCAAAACGCTTCCCGGACGGCCCCCGAGACCACGATTCGCCGACATAGCGCCCCCAGACGCCCACGATGGCCCCCAGGCGGTCTCTGAAGCCACCGAAACGCCACAAAAAGGCCCCTAAAATGCGCCCCGAGAAGGTCACAAGAAACAGCAATCTACACATGTCCTTCGAAAGCCACGCATTATTCCGCACGCTCGCCTACTCGGCAATCGCAGCGTCCACGACAAGCACAGACACCTTCAACATCGCTTCCAGACGACCAAAGGGGCCCAAAGCAGGGTCGCTGAGGGTCCAACAACAGCCCACGAAGCCCCCAAGACAGCCCAGGAGGGCCCCCAGACGGCTCCAACACGGAGCCCGCAGGGCATCTTTTTTCTAGCCTTCGGCTCCAAGACGCTCCCAGCCTGCTCCACGAACACCCCCAAAAGAGCCTCCGAGGAAGTCCCCAAGAGGCCCCAAAACTACCTGCAAGACGACCCCGTCAGGCCTCGCACGAGATCTTCTTCACCATCCGTGTGGCCGCCTACCTGTATCCCGCGCAAGGTGGCGGGATGCGCCGCGTCCCATTCGACAACGACTCGTCCAGATTTTGGGCCGCCGCATGCCGTCTATGGGCGCGGGTGTTGACAGGCATTTTCCCGAAATCGTCACTCCTCCTTCTCCTCCTCTTCCGAGGACCCTCCTCCGCCTCTCCCCCATCGTCCCCCTCTTCCTCCTCCACTTTCTCCTGTTTGGTACCATGTCACCATCTCCGCGTCTCACCATCAACAACATCACCACCAGCATCATCATCGCCATCACCCGCACCATGACCACCGCCATCACCATCACCACCACCACGGATCACCATCACCACCGCCACGGATCACTGCCTTGTCGCGTGTCTGGACATATGTGATGCAACCCGCATCCGCCAACCCCATTCGGGGCCTCCAGACGTGTAAGACTCGTTCCGCGGACGGCCCCACATGCCCCCGGACTCGTTCGGGGATGGCCCCGAAGAGCCTCGAGCCCGCCCACCCAAAGAAACAAGACAACACAAGTCCGACCCAGGATCGCAACACGACATCCCCAAGCCGATCAAGGGGTCGGCGGATGTGGCGTAAGCCTATAGAATCTCAAATTAAACGGCTGCCGGACCTAGCGGTCGAGTGGTCCTCGTCCCCCCTGTGGGACTCTTGTGCAATCCCATTACATCACTGTTGCCATGAGCCTACATGTAAGACCAGGGGTGAACATGGTCCCGTGTAGCGAAACAGCCTTTCGTGAACATGACCCAGGACCAGACCCGGCGGGCGAAGGCCCGCAAAAAATGCGGCCGCAACACTTTCTCGATTGGTGAAGGAGGGCAAATATCATGACGAGTCGCTAATCGACTTGGCAGGGTGGGGTTTCTGTCGACCTCCGACAAAGCGGACGCTGTTGGTCGCCATCTGTGGCTAATCAAGACGATATCCTGGCCCCGGGGTCCTTTAACCGAACCGGTCTGGGGCGGACATCCCCTCCCCTGAGAGGGTCTCGAGAAGCTGGGGTGGGCACTCAGAGAACCGATGCCTTGGCCTCTTCCATGCGGGACCCCCAGAAATTCCGACCCCTTCCCCAAGGCTGGGACTTTTCATCCCGAGTTGTTTCTGGGCGGCCTCTAGGGTCCGATGGCGGCCCCCAAAGGCCGAAGACGGCGAAAAGCCTCCGCATTCTGTTTTCGTCCTGTATACATTCCTTGGAACTCCGGGCACATCTGGGTATGAGCCCGCGCGCGGCGCCGGGCTTGCTGCTGGAGGGTGGCGGCCCTGGCTCGTGGCCCCTCTGGCCTGGCAGCCGGCCTCGGACCTCCCCCGACGGCACGACCTCCTGTCAAGCCGCCGCCGCCCGGAGCTGGCGGGCCGTCTCCCCAGAGCCTCGTGTCTTCGAGCTGGTCGTTAAGTGCGCAGTTCGCGCTTCCGAGGCCCGGTTGCGGGAGGGCCGCTGCAGGACCCTGGGCCCGAGAGGGTCGGCAAGGCGCAAGGGAGCGGAACGCCTGCGCGGAGACGGGGGGCGAGGGCACTCCAAGTACGCGAGGGCATCGCAAAATCACGACGGGAAGTTGTTGGCCACAAGGGGCCCTCGCCGGGTCTCGGGACTGTCAAGGAGCGGCGCGGGATGAAAAGCCGGCCCTGGGGAAGGATTGGGACATCCGGGGCCGCATTTTGAGACAATCAAGGCGTCGCATCTTTGGGTCTAGACATCCGCTGGCACAAGCTTGCCACCACGAGGTTTTCATTTGGACCGGCGGAAGGAAACATCCGGAGGAGGAAAAGACAGGGGAGGCAGAACGGCAAACAGCGAGCCATGGAACAGATACTTACAAGGGGAAAAATTACAAATCGCCCGCGCAGTAGAACGAAGGGCGCAGAAACGATCTCATCAAAGACAATATCAGAGGCTCAGGCCTCTGGGTTACTCCTTCTCCTCCTCCTCCTCCTCCTTTTCCTCCTCCTCCTCATCCTCTCCCTCCTCCTTTCACTCCGAGCAAGATCACCGCCCACGGCCCCTATCTCATCCTCATCCCTGGGACAAGAATCATGCCATCATGCAACTGACTCAGGGTACTTCCTGGGAGTCCTGGAGTTTTTGGCGCCCCTCAAACATTCATTGTCGGCCACTCGTCTTCCCCAAAGACATGGTTTTCATCCCGGCCCCTGGAGGTTGGCAATGGGCAAAAGCCCTCCGTCGCGTTTGTCTCTGGACGCGAGGGGGTCTGGGCCATTTTTCCCAGCTCAAGCCTCAGATCCAGCTCGCGAGCACTGGTCGCAGGGCTCCAGGCAGACCGCGTGGAGGGGGGTGGCCTCGGCGACAGGCGAACTCCGATCGAGGCTCGGATATGGATGTGGGGGGTGCGGTCGATCGAGCGTCGAGGATGTGTAACGAGAGGCAGGGCGGCCCCACTCTGCGAAAAAGTATGGCTCTCGAGAGGCCAAGAATATGGGGCCCCAATCCAAGGGTACGCGAGGGGTGCGGGAGTCCACCCTCGATAGGGCTGCGTCCGATTTTTTCCCTGGGGATGTGTCTCCGAGTTCCCCATCTGCTACACACGACCAGTTTCTGGGAGGGGAACTCGGGAATTGGAGGCGATAAGTCGCCTGCGAATAGACGGGCCAAGGTCGCGGCTCGAGGGGAGCGAGGGGCGGTTTTTGACGAATGCCCCTACTACCAGCAGGTGATCACTCCGTGATTTGAATCTGCTCCACCCGGATGCCTGGTTCCCTCGGGCTGAGGCCTCTCTTGGCCCTTGACCACTACACCAGGGCTCTGCCAGTCTGACGACGTGCGCCCTCAGAGGGGGGGGGAGGGGCGGGAGGAGGGCGGAGGAGAGGGGGGCTGAACAAGTGATTGCATAAGCCCACACTTTCGGAGGGCCGCGCGGATTGATTTGCTCGGCACTGAATCCCCCATCGAGGCGCGCGAAGCGCGCCAGGGGCGGCGCCAGAGGCGGCACCAGGAGGTCTAGCGCCGATGCAAAAAATCTGCGCGGACCTCCGAAAGTTCACGTTTACACAGTTCTGTGGTTCTTCCATAGAGTGGCGGGGAGATGTGCGGGCCGACTGTTCCCGTGGTGTGGGAGCCGCGATCTGCGCGCAACCATTTGAGCACGGCGCAAGCAAACCAAACCTTGCAAGGTGGAGGGGGCCGGACCGCGGGAGTCGGGGGCGCAGGGCCCGCGAACCGAGGGCGCGAGGGAGGAGGTCGCACCAGCAGGTCCTTGCGCGGGCCGCGGAAGATGACGAACCGCACGTCGGGCAGCCTGGCGCAAGAGAGGGCCCGCCCACATGGGCAAGGAAAGACGACGCCCATCACCGCTCTGGCGCACGCTAGCATGGATTACTGATCTGTGGATTTGGCACCGTGGGCGCGCGAAGACGATGCCAGTGCCGCATGTTCTGGTGCCGGTGCATGCCGATTTTCGCATGGGAGCGGGGCCTGTCGATCATCGAAGAAGAACAAGCTTTCCAACGCAAACTTTCGAAGATCCAAGAGGATTTCTTGGATCGGCGCTGAACCCCTCCTTTGTGCGCGAAACGCGCCAAGTGCGGCGCCAGAGGCGCCCGCAGGGGGGTCCAGCGCAGATCCAGGGAATCCGCGCGGAAATCCGACAGTTTAGGCTGATGCCTTGGCATTATCCACGCGCCTCAATCCGCGCTGGCCCCTCCCAGATGGTGTGGCCCCCCAAGTGCTGTGGCGCGCCTGTCTTGGTGCGCGCCACGCCCGAAGAAATCCCCACCCCTCCGGCTAGAGGCGCCGTGGGCCTCCTCGCCGGAGGGGGCCCAGCTGGCGGTGGTGGTGGTGTCGCTTCCTGGGTCGGACGAGGGAGAGGGAGTTTGGATCCAGAGCCAGGCAAGTCTGCTTGCATGGTACAGACGGGGATGATCAAATTGAATCGCAGACGGTGATGTACATCCTCCGTTCGTGGCTTATTCCTATACGTGCTCGCTCCTGCCCGTTTCTGGACCCAAGGTGGAGGTGCAAAGGCCTAGGCAGAAAGGGCAGGGCAAGATCTAGTCTCCCCTGCAAACCATAAAAACAACAAAATGTGCTCAGCTGGTCGGAATAATCCTGTTCGGTTGTGGAGGCGATTGCGCGCGGGAGCCCTCTCTTGCACCTTGAGAGCATAATGCCATCGAGACGGCACTTTCTACGGGCATCGGCGCCGGCGTGCCGATGGTGATAACCGTCGCGACTGCCAGCAGCAAAGCGGTTCACCACGCCAAACATGTTCAGTGCGTGTGCTTGCGGTCTCGATTCGATCATCACTCGCGTGATGTGTCGACGACCCTGACCGAAGAGGAGGACACGGGGCGGGGCAGGAGGGCGCAAAGGATCGCCGTACAAGGATACCGGCGGGGAAACACTGGCCGCTCGACACGCCGCGTGTCCGCGCGCGCCCCCGACATCTGACCTAGTGGATAAGATCACGATGTCGTGAAACATCGCGACCTGTTAATTCGACCCCATGCAATATGCGTCGCGTTTCGAGCCAGATCGATATGTGACTGTCTGTCATGTTTTTCAAGACGCCAGGTTCCGAAGGGGGGCATGTCCGCGTGCTAGTTGCAGCATCCCGCTCAACCACACCACGATCTCGTCCGCCCAGTGGTGCATGACCGAGAGGGGCACGATGACGAGGTGAGGACCCTTCTCGTTCTGGGCCTCCAGGAGGTGCCCGATGAGGGCGAGGACCTGCCGCGGGCGGAGCCCCTTACGCGGCCTTCCCCTCCCCGCGCTTCTGGGGGGTGATCGATGATCGAGGTTCGACGTGTGTGGACCTGCTGGACCACGTGTGCTCCAAGCGCCTCAAACAAAAAACACCCGAGAACCTCGTCCTCTTCCCCCTCCTCCTCCTGTTCCTAATCCTCCCCCTCTTCCCCATGCATCCGGCCCTTCCCCCGCCACCTCCTCGTGGTCCTGGCTCCTACCTCCCCCTCCCTCTCCCCTCCCCCCTCCCTCTCTCCTCATCGCTCTCTCTGGGGTCCAGTGGAGGCCTGCGGTGGCCTCCACGGGCCGGAGGGGCCCAGAAATGTCAGATAAACTCTTTCCTCGAACCTCGACCCTCGCTCCCCACTCCTGAGGAGGGAGGAGGGCGAGGATGAGGATGACCTCATCCTCATCCTTCTCGCCGCCTCCCCAAAACATCAGCACCTCGATGCCTCCTCGAGGGCACCGCGGTCTGCCGTACGCTCTCGCCCTATGGCTCCGACGTTCCTGCAGGAGCGGGGGAGGATGACCCAGAGGCTGCAGGACCGAGGTCGAGAATCTGGGAGGAGATGGCGTTGCACGTTCCTTTTTGGACCTCCTCTAAGGACCTGCAGAGGCCCCGGGAGGTCTCCAGAGGCCAGCGGGGGACACCTGACACTTGAGGGACCTCCAACTGTAATCCCACCAGCCCTCTGGGCGTCGGTGGTTTAGGGCGTTTCCTCTTCCACCCCTCCCTCTTCCCCTTCGGGGAGGGGTTTACCCCTCCCCCTACCCCCTCCCCACTGACCTGGACAGGAGGGGCGGGGAGCGGTCAGAGCGTCCAAAACGGCCTCGGCGAGGAAGCCAAAATCATTGATTTTACTATGGTTTCGGCCCCATTTTGGCCTTCTGAGGGGGCAGCGCTAATTAGAGCTCCCCTCTTCTTTGATCGATTTCCTCCACGATGGCCGCAAGAGGCCCCCAGGATGCCCCAAGAGGCCGCAGGATGGCCCCAAGATGGCCCCAAGAGGCCCCCAAGAGGCCCCCAGGAGGCCCCCAAGAGACCCCCCAGAGGCACCCAAGGTGCTCCCACCCCTCCCTTCGGGGAGGGGTTTACCCCTCCCCCTACCTCCTCCCCACTGACCTGGACGGGGGGGGGCGCGAGCGGTCAGAGCGTCCAAAACGGCCTCGGCGAGGAAGCCAAAATCATTGATTTTACTGAGGTTGTGGCCCCATCTTGACCTCCTGAGGGGGCAAAGATGGCCCTAAGAAGCGCCCAGGAGGCCCCCAAAGGCCCCAAGATGGCCCCAAGAGGCCCCAAGAGGCCCCCAGGAGGCCCCAAAGAGGATTCCGAACGGCCCACAGAGGCCCCCCCGAGGCACCCAAGACGCCGAAAAGCCCCTCAGGACGACCCTCTACTCGCCTGGGCGTCGTTTCTGGACGGGCTGGTGGGGATACGCGAAGCGTCTAGAATTCATAACACCTGCGTGACCAACCGAACACACACACACACACACACACATCCTAACAATAAGTACGGCTCCTCCCGACATCCATGCGTAGTGTTCGCCAAGTGAATAAAACCGAACAGGTACCCACGCAGAGTGCAGGCACCATGAGTTACCAACGGCACGAACGAAACGTACGAGGCGCAGACAGTATGTACTGATCACCACATAACATACATCACAGCTCGCCCTGGGATTTCACATCATAACAAGACAAACTGTGCTGCATCACAGCGCAGACTGTACACACGAAGACTTCAACGACCATGCATGCGTCAAAACGACGTACAGGAAGGCTGGGCTAGCATGCCTGCACCGTCTTCCCAAGTCCCATGTCATCTGCGAGGATACCGTTCATCCGATTGTCGATGATCTGCGCCAACCTGAAACAGTTGCTGACAAAAACTCCTCTCTGGAAACTCCTCTACCGAATGTAACTCATCATCATCCGTAAGATGTTATCTTCTATCTGCTGTTGCGCCTTCTCTGCCTCATGCTGGTATCCTTGCCGTCGTCTTCCTGCTTCTCTTGTCCAAACCCCTCTGAGGATGATCTCCTGAACTCATTATCCCCCTCCTGTAGTCCTACTGCTCCTCCTGACGTCATCTTCTTCTACTCATCATCGTCATTGCCACCACCATCACCATCACCATCACCACCACCATAATCCTTGCCATCATAAACATCATCATATTCATCATCACCATCATCAGCATCGTCATCATCAGCATCATCATCGTCATTCCCATCATCAATATCATCACCATCATCGTCAAACATGAACCAACATTAACCACCAAAAATTATTACCGTCATACTCAACATCATCACCATCATCAACACACACACACATCAACATCAGCGTCGTCACCATGATCAGCATCAGCATCAACACCATCACCAGCACCGGCATCAGCATCCGTATCACCATCATGATCATCATCATCACCACCATCAATATTACCAATTTCCTCCGTTCTCCATCATCCTCCTCGTAGCCCTCACTATCCCCGTGATTTCCTCATCATCCCATTACTTCTCCTCTCCTCAGTCGTCCCCGCCGCCGCCGCAGTCGTCGGTCGTCCGCGTTCGTGGTCGTTCGACATCACCACCATGGGCAGCTTGTCAGTGGCCACGGGGGCCGAAACAGGCGTTCGGAAGCCACGGACGTGGACAGAAACGACCGTCACTGTTTGCCTGCTCGCGACGCCACGAGGTGCTGGCCCAGGCAGGACGGTGTCCTTGTTTCAATACACAGCTGGCCCGTAAGGCTTCGCAGCAACTTTTCCAACTCCTGGCGAGGGAACCGGGGCCCCCGAAATCGGTGGTCCATCGTGGCCCCGCATCGTGAAAAGTGTGTAACTCTGTTCAGGTTTTTCAGCCGCAAGGGTTTGATTTATTTAAAACCCAGACATCCCGACACTTGCCTCAAGGGTCGACCTTTCACCCCGAGCAGCTCTTGCTACGGCCCCAGAGAAGTCGAAAGCTTCCCCCCAGGGGCCGAGATCGGAACGCAGAGCCGCGTGACGACCGTGTTCCAAGAGATCTGAGATCCGATGTCACGAACTCGACCGGAGCCCTGGATCCGATCTATATGCGGCATTTTCTGAATCGAGTCGATCCGTGAGCGTCCTGGGGCCAGGAACAACAAAAAATCGCCCGTTGCGCAGGATGCGCGCCGCCAGGATCTCAGGGGAGCCATGTGCCGACTTTGCTCCAAAACGTCGGGCGTCCAGGCGGGTGCCGCGATGGACTCCCTCGGGCGGCCACTCGCGCACGCGGACCTTGGGCCCCCACTCGCGCCGAGTCGCGGCGCCGTGCGGCTCGAAGAGAATCGGAACCCGCGCCTGCGCCAACGTGTGCTCGCCCACCACGCTTTTCAGCGTGGCGCAGGCAGCGCGACGAGGGCCAGCACCGCGCTGTCGGTGGAGCCGAACGGGGTAGGACGTGACCATACGGAACGCTGAATGCGGAACGAAAGGGCTTTTCTCACCACGCAAGCCTCGGTCACGATTGGGTTCCTACGAAACAGGAACGGCCTGGAAACCAAAGCACCTCCTGAGACGAAAAAGGTCCTTGTTTCAGCGTCCTGGCTGTACGGCAGGTTCGTGCCGTGACGACGTCGGCGTTGGTTGGTCTCTGAAGCCGCGTGGATCGTGCCCCCTTGAGCGATCGTGGCGTTCCGATCGCACTGAATCGTCCGATATCGGCAGATTCCATGGCTCCAGCCGCATTCAACCTTGCACGACGCCAAGTCGACATGGCGCAAACCTGGCATCATGAGGGCCGACGCCGCCTGCGTGTGTCGGTGGAGCTGGACGGGGTAAAGACATCGGGGGTAACACACGTCCCGAGGATCGTCGAGCGGTCCTCGGCGACGCGCGGTTGCCGAAATGGCTGCTCTGGCCACCGTCCCTCGCCCTCCCTCTCCCTCCTCTCGTGCGGCCACGGGGGGAAAGGCGGCAGATTCATGCCGCGACGACTTGGGCGTTGGGCTCTGATTCCGGGTGGGTCGTGCAACCTCGAACGATCGGCGGCTTCACGAGAGCGCAGATCAATCGTTCTCGGCTGACTCCAGGCAGCTAGCCGCGCTCAGCCTTGAACGCCCGCGCCGAGATCGCCGCCGCGTCGACACGGCACGAACCTACCGCACACCAGCGGTGCACAGAAAGCGACAACGAACGCAAGCAAGACAGGGGGAAAGGACGAAGAAGAGATGTGGTTTCCCCCCTGTCCCCTCAAGAATGGGCATTTGTCCAAGGAGTTGCCTTGGACTCAATGGAATGCCTCGTAGTTCGAATCAGCGCTGTCGTTCAACCTGGTATTTCGGCACGCATCACGAAGGGGTCAACTCCAAATCGATATTCCACATCCTCCTCCTCCTCCACCTCCGTTTCTTCGTAATCTTCTTCCCCCCCCCATTTCACCATTCCCTCCTCCTCTCTCTCTCTATTTCTCTCCTCCTCCTCATCCTCATCATCATCATCAACATTGCAATATCCATACCTATACGACCGCCCTTCGCGTGATAAGGATGTTCGGGGTGGGAGAGGAACTAATGTCTTACCCAATCGAGATCACCATCGATGTCACTATCAATGCTACCATCGATCCCACGGTCGATCTCACGATCGACTTCCGTATCGTCCCACCATCGGTCTCACTATCGATATCATGGGACACCACGGGACACCGACGGGGCACCGAGGAGGCACCGCGGGCACGACGGGACACCGACGGGACACCGATCTCACGATCGATACCACGATGGATATCACATCTGACTTTCGATCTCACGACCGATGTTACTATCGATCCCACGGGACACCACGAAACACCGACGGAACACCGACGGGACACCACGGGCCACCGTGGGACACGTCTAGAAAACCGATCTCACCATCGACCCCACGATGGATCTCACATCTCTCGATTGATATCACGATTGATCTTACTATCGATCTCAAGCGAAACCACGAGATACCGACGAGACACCAGCGGGACACCACGGGCCACCGCGGGACATCGACGGGACACCGACGGACAACGGGGGGGGGTCGCCCGACGGACGACAGCGATAAGGATACGAATGTCTGATACCCTCCGTCACCACCAGGCCGCCGCAGCCACACAGTACACGCACGGCAATGGAAGGTGAAGGAGCGATGGTCGGGTGGCTATTTCGAGAGCTTAGGAAGAGAATCTGGGGCTTGTGTCTTGAGCCAAAATGGTACGACCCCTCCCCATGGGCAGCACACCCCTCATGAAACATTTAAGCTCAGGGAGTCTCACATACAGAGAGGACGTCTTGTCCAAACTATTCGCCTCGAGACTCAAATCTCGCAGTGCCCAGAAAAAAACAATAAGCTTAAGGGGGTGCTGTGCCACGGGAATGAATATATATATATATATATATATATATATATATATATATATATATATATATATATACACGCACCTCAGAGAGAGGTGACGGGAGGGATCGGACCGGGCTCCTTGAAACCTCGCCGTCCAGTTTCTGCTGCTGCTGCCGTCGCGAGCAAATGCCCGGCCTTGCTGCGCACAACCGAAAACGCCGCGAGCTCAAAGCTGCCGGGCACTTGTCTCGCCAGTCGTAGAACCCTACTCGGCTTTGAGACGGCCTGTGGCTGGCTGGTCGGCTCCACCCTCCTGCTGCTGAAATTGCCTCTGAGACTCGGCTCGGGACCGCCCTTTCTTGCGGGGATCCTGCTCGCGACCCTCCAAAGCCCCCCCTTCCGAGGAAAGCCGAAGACGCCCGGGCCGAAGCAGCTCGAACTGAGCCGCGTTCGTCTTGGACATGTCGGACTAAGTCATGCAGTCGACCGGAGGAAGAAGTTGAGGCATCCATCGGTTCACACTACCGACTCTAGACATTATGTCTCGATCGACGGCCAAATCGATCGCAGACCTCCGATCCAAACGGGAGCCGTTAGACAGCTAGCTGAGAGCGTCGTAGATTCCCTTGGCATCACCGACGTATAGACACTCGGTGGAGGGCGGAGTGAGGAGCTCGCAGTCCTGGCGCAGCAGGGCGGCAAAAGGGCAGACCTTCCCCTGCCAGGACTCGGTGACCACGTTGCCACGAGTCACATCTTCAAACACGAGATGGAGCCACTGCGCGTCGGCCAGAGCTCCGGACAGGGCCAGAGTCTCCCCAGCCAGAGCCCTGGCGACCAATCTCTTTCACTCGGCAAGATTGCCAAGCTAGGGCAGAGACTCGGGCGCGATGGCCTTGCGCCAGCGAGTTGTCGGCCACGTGCAACTGCAAGGCTTGCCGGGGGCGCTGGCAGACGTCGGGCCCGACCCCGCCGCGGTCGCCGGCGGCGGCAGATGACTGATCAGCGTCAGGGCGGCCGTCGAGCTCAGGTGATCTACCATCTTGTGAGCCTCCCAAAAAAACGTCACGCTCGGGGAGTTCACTTTCGTGGCCAGTATGGGGGCCACCCCCGCGGCCTCGGCCCGGGGCTCTCGACCCGCCCAGTTGAGTTTGCAAGCGAGACTGCGGAACTCGGCCACCTCGGAGCCAAAGGAGGACTGCTGTGATCCCTTCGCATCCCCCGGGACATGGGAACTTTATGCAACTGTTCCACTTGCCCCACAAGAATTCTCTGGTCGGGGGCCCCCGGGCCTATCCTCAGGAGCCTACGCCCACTGTGCTCGACCCCTTTCTCGTCGAGTCTCTCCACCTGGCCAGAATTAAAAAGATTACGAAACTCCGGCATGAACTTGCTTTCCTGTCGGGAGGAAAAGCTATCGCCCAATCATCCACCTCCGCCAGCGCCTGCGAGATTTAGGCGATCGCCCCGACGCTGAGCGAACCAGCACGACTCCAACTTAGTTCTGACGCACCCCTGGCCCTCGAGAAACCCGGCAGGCGTTGCGCGGAAAGCCAGGGGCGCATCGTCGAGCCCGTAAACGGGAGCCACCAGCTCGATCAGGGCACCTGCTGGGAGATTGAGCCCATCGCACGGCTCAACGAAACCTCTTCCTCGCGGCGTTCTGAGGGGGTCAGACTGGCAGAAAGCATTCTTGGTGTCTCCTATGTCGACCTGTAGGTTGTACATGCGCGATATGGCCAAAAATAACATCAGCGACTCAATCGAGGGAGTCGTAGCGTAGACCTGGAGCTCGGCCGTGTCCTCGTCCTGGTGCTCCCTGAGGCCCCGCCGAGACTTCGCCTTCTGCCGAGCTCCCGCGCTACCCTGAGGTTTCCAACGGCGAGCTACCCAGCTCGAGACGACCCGATCGGGGAAGAGGGCTCGCAGCTTTTTGCCCTCTTGTGGAGGATGGGCGGTAACGGACGTCGCGCTCACGATGCCTTCCCATTCCTGGAGGTCAGAAGCGGCGAACTCTCGCCTTTCCTGGGCACCCAGATCCTTCGAGCGAACTTCGGTCCCTCCGTTGGCCAGGAGAAAAAAAGATACCTGGGAGAAGGGGCCGCGTTCCTGGGGAACGGTTTCGACGCTCGCATTCCCATTATGATTGGTCACCCAGTTCCCGCCCCACCCTTCGTTCTCTATGCTTCACTCTAGGTCCCCGAAAAACGCGCAGGGAGAGCTATCCCCAAGCCCCAGGAGCGCCCAGAGCTCCCCGCCCTGGAGGGCGAGCTCAGCGGAGGAGGCCATCTCCTCCATGGGTTGGGCCTGACCAGCCACTCCCGAATACGGCGGCGGCGACCTCGATCGCCTTCGAACCTGCTGTCCGCCCTCGATCTGTCCGGGGAACCCCTCGAAAGTCCCCCCCCGCACGGTTGGGCCGTTGGCCGGCCCTTCTCATGCCCGCGTCCAGCATTTCATTCCGCAGAATAGTCTCGCCCATAAAGCTCCGGCCATTGGCCGCCGCGGTCGACGACCGAGCGTCTGGGACCTGCCCCGCACTCGAGGAGAACGCGGGCACCGAAGCAATATATCCAGGAAGCCTGGGCGGCCGCGGGGTCGGCGCTCGACGCGGCCGGCAGTCCTGGGGGAAAAGGAAGAGGGGCCCCGAGGATAAGGGGGCGGCCCTGAGCTCTCGACCCCTGACTCGACAGGCTCGGGCCCGTCGTCCAAACAGCGGTAGGCATGAGGACGATGACCTTCGCCCTCGTCCAATTCGGACGCCTGGCGCGACTGGGCGACCGAGGGCGACCGACCGAGCGTGGAGGGAGGTGGGGTGACCGGCCCAGCGCCTGGCCGCGGTCTCCTCGGAGTCAGCGCTCCGCTCTTCAGGGGTGGCTGGGAGGGGTTGGCGGGGGCCTCCAGGCGCCTCTGGGCCGCGCCGCTAGGCCCCTCGACCCGACTGAGACAACTGACGGCACTTTAGTGACAATCGCGAATACAACTCTACATGCACGGCACTGGTCTCCACCCAATCTCTCACAACATGGACTGCACTCAGAAGTGTGGAGTTGTAGCGAGCCAAGGGTTACAACCAATTAAAATTGAAGGTATGTTCAATATCATACATTCTGCACAAAGGTACATGCGTGTACACACGTTGTTTGTAAGAGTTATGTTGCCTGGAACTTATGGAACTTATGGGGCTGATAGCTTTAGACATCTAACTACATATTTCTGGCGTTTTCTGTATCGCGATTTGTTATTCTATATATTTTTTTGCGCGTGCGTTTTCCCCCCCCCGGAAGACCGCTCGGCGGAGGAAAAGGAAACTGGGGGAAATTGGAAGAGGTGGAGGTGGAGGTGGGCGTAGATCTTTAGCTTTAGCGGAAGACCGCTCGCGCCGCGGACGGCGAAGGTTACTGGCGGTCTCGCTGTTGTCGAGCCGCGGCAGGCGCACTGACGGGCCGGCGGCGGGCGTCGCCGTCGTTGTCGTCGTCGTCGTCGGTCGGAAGACGAGCCTGGCAGCCATGGGGCCCACGACCCCATAGCCCCCCGCGCCAGGCTCTCTGCGACCGCGGGCCAGGACAACCTTGGCCGCGGCGCGTCGTCGTCGTCTTCGTCGTCGTCGTCTTCGCCGTCGTCGTCGCGCTGTTCGAAGCCGTGCCCTCAGCGACTTGCGCACGAACCCGCGCTCGACGGTCTCGTAGGACTTGTCCGTCTCGCGGGAGCTCTCGTTCGTGTCCTTCTGGTCCTCCTTGTCGTAATCGACCCGCTTGGACTGGTCGCGGCTCTCCCACTTCGCCTGGCCGTCGCCCTCCTTGCCGCTCGAGCTCGCACCCCGCGGCTTCTCGACAAACGCTCGCTGCTGCTCGTAGGCTTTCTTCAACAGCTTGATATTGAAGGCCTCGTCGTCGCGATCGATTGCGAGCTGGTTGGCGCGCTTTGGCTGGTCGTCGTCCACGTAGCTGTTTCGCGCCGTAGCTGGTGGAGCGGTCGCAGCTGATCGTCGAACCGGGCATCGGCCACAGCACTGCGACGTGCAAGGCCCAGGACTCGTTGATGGCCCAGCTGCCAGGTAGCATCCTTGCCAACTGAGGGCCCTCGTTGAGGTGGAGGCTCTCCTCGAACTTGCCCCCGTGGGCGCCGCGGAGCACGAGCTTCGCAGTGTCGTTAGGGCCACGCGCGGCGCGCAAAGTCGACGCCTCGGCGAGGATAATCTTCTTCGCGCTCATCACGTCGGGGAACCAGCCGAAGTCGCCGCGGAAGCTGAGCGGGAAGTAGAACGGCGCCCACGCCCTCCAATCCTCCATCCAGACATAGCGCTGCGCCCCCGGCACACCGTCGATCACGACGATGACTTCCTTCCCAGCCATCTCGGCGTCGGGTTGGGCGCGTCGGGCAGGGCGCGCCTGGCAGGGCCGCGCAAGGCGTCGGGCAGGGCGCGTCGGGCAGGGCCCGCAGAGCGCCCCATCGAATGCTCGAGGAGCCATGGCTCGAAACGATGGCCACCCAGAAGGGGTTGGGCGCGCGCGGGCTGCGAACAGGAATGGTGCTCTCGTTCGGAGACCTCATCACAATTTAACAACGTCGGGAATGGTGCTCCCGCTTGGAGACCTCCTCACAACTTACCCCCCTCGCCCGGATACCTCCTCACAATTAACCTCCTCAGTGGGGGGGGGATGGGGGGGGGAATGGAAGTAGGAGGCGGAGGATGGTGGATGGTTGTTCTGGTGGCAAGGAAGGAGCTGCCCTAGTGCAGCACAGTGCACTCGTCTCTGCCATCCAGGTACCAGGCATTTGCCTCGTACGCCTCGACAACCTAGATCTGGCACTCGAAGCGGTCCAGCCACCTATCACGCCCATCAACCTCAGAATCAGCACGTATTGGTTTGCCTTCAAGGCACGCCCAGCAACCATGCCGACGCATGGGCCAGAAAACACAACGTCGTCGGTGTAGAAGTCCTTGGCGTCACGACGCACGCCCCTGGCGATGGCGGCAGCGGGATAGTCTGGCAGGGACCCTCGGGGGCCATGGAGGCCGCTCGCGAAGTGCAGCCCGCGTTCGGCCAGCTGGTTATATTGACAAGCTGCTGGCTGGAGCTCCGCCGCCGCCCCCGAAGCCGCCGAGCTCGCCAGGCAGCTAAACTCGTCTCTTTTTTTTTTCTTTGTTGCCGGGGTCTCATTTCACATTGCGTGTGCACGAGGTGACTCTCTCCTAATGCCGAAGGGTGCCGAAGGAGGAGGAGGAGGAGGAGGAGGAGGGAGAGGAGGAGGAGGAGGAGGAGGAGGAGGAAGAAGAGGAGGGGCCAGAGGCCCTGGACCTTGCCCCGGCTGGTGGGCTGCCCGTCAACTGCTCACTCCAGCCGCTGCGCCACGGGTCGTGCTCCTCCTGCTGCCACGGAGCTGCTGCTGCTGCTGCTGCTGCTGCTGCTGCTCGGCACCCGGCGCCACACTGTTCGACGTCGAACCTCGCTGGAGGTCCTCGTCGCCCTTGGTCGCATCGGAGTCCCAAAACAGTTGACAAAACTCTTGAGACAGTCGCTCTGCTGCCTCGGTGTCGAAACCCTGTCCCACGAGAGCTTCTCTCACCGTGTCAGTGCGTTCGGTGCCTGCCCCCTTCGGCCAGGGGTGACTCCAGATTCTCAGTCGTCCTCGGTCGCTGCTGCCGTCATGGTCCGCGAAATTGGAGCTTCACGCTCCGCTACCACTGTCGCCCGACGGACGACAGCGATGAGAATACGAATGTCTGAGACCCTCTGTAACCACCAGGCCGCCGCAGTTACACAGTACACGCACTGCAATGGAAAGTGAAATAGAGATGGTGGGGTGGCTATTTTCAGGAGTATAGGGAGAGAATATGGGGCTTGGGTCTTGAGCCAAAACGGTACGACCCCTCCCCATGGACAGCACACCCCTCATGAAACACATAAGCGCAGGGAGTCTCGCATACAGATAGGACGTCTTGTCCAAACTATTCGCCTCGAGATTCGAATCTCACAGGGGAACGGTCTTTTAACCCTGCGGCGCCCTAGCCAGAAGTGGGTTCATTCCTCCCACCCGCCCACGCAGCTTCGCCTCGCCCACACGCACGACACGAACATGAAGCCGAAAACGATTTCGCAGTGGGAGGCTCTCCGTTTCACTGCGATCTCGCCCCCTCACCTCCGACTCATTGTCCTCGTGTCGGAGCAGGAGCTCAAAACTGGCCATCCGACCCCTCATGGGATCCAAACGCACCAAATTCCCAAACTGTTTCTAGCCATTGCGACGAGGGCCCCCCCCGAAGGTCAACGCCATTGTCTCAACTCGCCCTCCTCTGAACCTCCTCTCTCTCTCTCCTTCCCCTCCTCCTCCTCCTCCTCCTCCTCCTCCTCCTCCTCCTCCTCCTCCTCCTCCTCCTCCTCTTTCCCCAGCAGCCAGCGGAATCCGAAGAGCTGGTGGGGCAGCAACTCGCCGTTCCGGAGAACCTGGGACGGGGGCTTCTCGGCGCCGCCGCCGGCGCACGGGGGAGGCAGCCTGGCTCGCGGCGTGGGGAGGAGGGGGGGAGAAGAATGGGAGAGTTGGACGAGGAGGAAAAGAGCTGAAGGGCGCCGCGTCGCATGTAATACTACAGCGGGGGAAATTGCCCTTTCAGGCCCCAAGGTCCTCACGGAACATGTAGCAGAAAAACGGGATCCAGGGATCGTTTGAGTTCCCCAACGATGCTGCATGTTATTCGTCACGCCGGATCTCAAGGACAGAGCTGAAGGACGCAGTGTCCATCCCTGCTCACGTACTTGGGCCCATCATCCGAAACCCGTAAACCAGGGCGCCCTGGCTGTTGAGGAAAAGGCCCTTAGAATTTCGAGCAAGGTTATCTTTGTCCTTGCGCGTGGGCATCGCATGACTTGCAGTTAGACTTAATCGTCACTCTTCATCTCGTTCCCTTTTCTTATTTCCTCCTCCTCTCTCTCCTTCTCCTCCTCCTCTCCCTCCTCCTCCTCCTCTTCCTCCTCCTCCTCCTCCTCCTCCTCCTCCTCCTCCTCCTCCTCTTCTTCAAACTTAAGTATTACTCTACCTTTATCTTCCTGCTGGCGCGGTTGTTACATCCTCATCGCCATTGATGTCCCTTCCTCCTTTGAGAGCTGCTCGGGACACTCCGGAGGCCAGCCTGATCTGGGCTCGGAGCCTCTTGGGACCAAGTTCGCGGGCCACCTTGGGGCACTGCGCAGGGCCCCATGAGCCCCTGCAAGAGTTGCAAAGGTTGCTGAAATGCGCTCAAGGCTCAGCAAGCATGAAGATGCAGACCCGAGATGTCTGGCTGCTGCTCAGGAGGGAGGGCTGTGCTCGGGGAGAGGCTGCAGCACCGCTCAGCGATGCGCTGTTCAACTAGGGATCGGTTCTGGACAGGAATCGGTTCTGGACAGGCTGGTGGGGATGGTCTAAAGTCGAGAACTGTAAATTCCATGCGCCATGCACTCACAGACTCCCGAAAGCTGCCACCCTGACGGCGAACTCCCAACCCCCCGTGAAACGCGCGGCATCTAGACAACGCACCTTTGCCGTTGGATCACGCCCCATGATTTCCGCGGGAGGAGGACGATAACGAAGACCATGAGCATGACGATGACATCGACGATGGTGCTGAATGGTTTCTGCAGCTTAAAAAGAAAATCCTCCTCCCCCCTACCAGCAAAGCGGCGCATGCATCACCCTGTGCTACCCTCTGAAGGCTCCTGTGGCGCCCAAGAATCCCTTGGCGCTCTCCAGAGCCTTCCAGATGACCACACGGCTCCCGTGAGGGCCCAGGGAGGCCGCTGGGAACGCCAACATGGGCAAACATTGCTTCAAAGAGGCTCAGCAACGCTGAAAAGAAACCTGAGAGGCGCCAAGAAGCCGAAAGAGGCTTGCGAGAGACCCAAAGTGAACCTCAAGAGTCCTTCCAGGAGGCCCCGAAGAAGCAATGAACATGGAAACGAGATTGGTGTCTTGATGTCTGTTGCGTGCGTTGCACGCCGCTCGGTCTAGGATTACTTCAGAGGTGCGCTTGGCGCGTCCCAGAAGAGCCCAAGCGGGCAACGCCACCCATGTGTCCGCAGTGCTGCCGCCCGCTGAGGACACATCGGGAGTGCTATGGAAGGACAGGCAGGATGAAATGTGGAAGCGGATGGCGAGCAACACTAAGATGAGAACGTACAAGGACGAGGACGCATGCCACGAGGGCGAAGAAGGGGAGACTGAGGACTCCGAGGACTCCGAGGAGGATGGAGGACCAAAAGGGAGGATGAGGGAGAGGGGTGGAGGCGGAGAAGGAGAAGAAGGACGACAAAGAGGAAGAGAAAGAGGACGACACACTCAAGTGACCGTAAGTCTTCCGATTACATACTCGCACATTTGCGAGTCCTCGTCTTAGTGTACCAGGCCGTCTTGCCGAATGGGCTGAGTGGGGCAGTCGCGCCAGGATTGGTAGTTCCCTTCGATGCGACGATTGAGCGCGGACCTACCTGGCTTGACTCTTTGCGTGACAAGCTGTCTAAGCGATCGGCCTGGCCGAGCGGCCCTGCGGATTATGCAAAAAACCCCAGGATGAGAAGACCATGCAGAACTACTCCTGGCCATGGAAACCCTGGAAGGCCCAGGCCACATCAAACCAGGAGAGGGTGCAACACTGGTCAGTGGATGGGCTGGTGACACACGAAGCGTATAAACAAAAACAGATGAACAACACCTGCAAACGCACACGCACACACACACACACACGCACACACACACATCACACACTTTTTGGCGTCGCGGCCCCGCGCGCAGCGACAGGGCGTAGAAGACACAACACATATACACACACACGCGTGCCGACCATACTCCTCACACGCACGCACCCGTGCACGCGCCGACCCTGCAAGACCAAACCAGTCATGCCTCTCGCTGCCTGGCTCATCCCAGCTCAGCTGCACCCCCATCAATCCCCTTGGCCAAACAACCGGCTCTTCTTCTGGGGTCGACGGCAGAGGCAGCAGCCTGTAGAATTACCAGGGCAGCAAAACCAAAGCACGGTGGCGGGATGGGCCGACGGCTATTTGATAGCTGGCATACTTTTTTTTCGGACGCGGCCGCGAGCGAAGAGCGCAGGCGGCGACAGAAGATAGCTGGCATACGCGCCGCGTCACGATTTTCGATGCTGCGCACCATTTCGACAAACTCCCAGGGAGCGGCCGGTGATGCGCCGCCGGCGTCCTCGATCTACCCGGGCAGCAGCTTTGAAACCCTGCAAATCTTCCCTTGACTCCGACAAAGACCCGAAACCTGCAGCGCAGCCCCCCAAAATGCACGGGACGACCAAATCTGACTTTGCAGGAATGGGTGTCGTTCACCCCCCCTTGCCCATAACATGGTAAGTCTTTGTCCTGGTCTGAGGGGGCCTGAAGTCTCCGCTGCATCTCGTTTCCGGACTTGCGGGCCGCAGCCCCTGACCCAGGCTGGAGTGACAATCGGAATTGGCGTTGGCGTCCCTAGCTGCGTTCGCTGTGCTAGGGCGGCAAAGGCGCGCTCGACCACGGCGCAAGATTGAGAGATGGGGGGCGGAGGAGGAGGAGGAGGACCAGTGTAACCCAAGAGTCATCATCGATGTTGGAGTAAACCCTCCCTCCAAGTTCCCTCTTCATAGGCCCCTACAGCGGTTCATTTCCATTGAATGAACTGCCTCTTTGGAAGACAACCGTTTGAAGACCCCGAGACATGCCAAAACATTGTTCTCAGGATTACAACGCCACGGATTAACCTGACAGTTGCGTCTTGACACTCTTGGACCGTGCCAGAACACCATTCCTGAGACTTCAACACATCGAATGAACATAACTGATGCGCCCGCGTAATCCTGAATCCCTCAAAACACAATTTCTGACACGTTGGTAATGAGAACCCGTGAAGCTCTTGCAAATCCAAAAAAACGAATGTGCGCCGCGCTAGCGCGAGAACCACATTTTGAAAACGACCCGCCCTCAACCCTTGAACCTCTTGCACGTTTTAGAAGAAATATGCATATATATATATATACATAAATACATATATATATATATAAGAAAAGTGAATGTGCGCCGCGCTCAAGCGAGAGCCATATTTAAAAACTACCCGCGTTCAATCCTTGTAACTCTTGCAAATGTTTAAACCGAGTGTGCGCCGCGCCATAGCGGGAACCACATATTGAAACGACCCGCCCTCAATCCGTGAAGCTCTTGCAAATGTTTAAAACAACGAATGTGCGCCGCGCTAAAACGAAAACCACATTTTGAAAACTACCCGCATTCAAGTCGTGAAACTCTTGCAAAATCTAAAAACGAATGTGCGCCGCGCTACAACGAGAGCCACATTTGGGAAACGTCCCGCCCTCAATCCGTGAAGCTCTTGCAAATGTTTACAACGAATGTGCGCCGCGCTGAAGCGAGAGCCAAATTTTGGAAACGACCCACCCTCCATCTGCGAGGCTGTTGCCAATTTTTTAACTTCAGAATCATACATGGTGAAGAAGTCTCAGGCGAAACGCCCGGCCCGCCCTCAAAACTTGCTTCGGGGTGCGACAGGGAGAAAGGGTGCGAAAACCAGAAGGCGCCGAAAACCAACGATGCACCGAAAACCAAAAAAGGGTACGCCGAAAAGAAAAAAAGGCGTCGAACACCAAAGGAGCTCCGAAAACCACATGAGCGCCGAAAACCAAAGGAGCGCCGACAACTCAAGGGGCGCCGAAAACCAAAAGCGCGCCGACAAGAAAAAGGGAGCCGAATACCAAAGGAGCGCCGAAAACAAAAAGAGCACCGAACAGCAAAGATGCGCCGAAAACCACAAGGCGTCGAAAACCTAACGAACGCCGAGAACCAACGAGGCGCCGATAACAAAAAAAGGCTCCGAAAACAAGCGTGGCGCCGGAAACCAAAGAGACGCCGAAGACCAAAAGAGCGGCGAAAACCAGCCCAGCGCCGAACACCAAAAGGGCGCCGAAAACCAAAGAGCACCGAAATCCAAAAGGGCGGCAAAAACCAAATGGTTGCCAAACTTAAAACGGACGCTGGGAACCACAGGGGCGCCGGTAACCAATAGAGATTCGACAACCAAAGAGTCGCCAAACACGAAAAGGGCAATGAAAACCAAAACAGTGCCGAAAACTAAAGGGGCGTCGAAAACCAAAAGGGCACAGACGGCGTAGAAAAACCAACGGAGCGCCGAAAACCAAAGGAGCGCCGACAACCACAAGGGCGTCGACAACCAAAGGAGCGCCGAAAACCGAAAGGGCGCCGAAAACCAAAGGAACGCCGAAAACCAAGGGGGCGCAGAAAACCAAAAAGAGGACGAAACACCACAAAACGCCGAACATAAAAAGGTGTGCCGAAAACCGAAGATGCGCCGGAAATCACAGGGACACCGAAAACCAAAAGGACACCGAAACCCACAGGGGCACCGAAAACCAAGAGGGCGCCGCAAAATGAAAGGGGCGCCGAACACCCAACGAACGCCGAAAACTACAAGAGACGCCGACAACCCAAGGG